CTTTCTGCTCCCGTAAAGATTTTCAGCCTCAGAAACCCTGTTCAGGGTCACTATGGGTCGGAACCGACTCGACGGCACTTAACAACTACAACTTCCAAGTTACTATCACTTTTTTTTTTTTACCCCAAATCCTATCTTAAATATTCATTTATTGAAAGGTTAGGAAGATAAATTAATGTGGCACTGTGGGCTAATGCATCAGACTGCAAAGTTGTGTGAACTGCAAGGTTGGTGGTTTCAAGCTCACCAGCTGCTCCCAGCTGCCCCTTGGAAACCCTGTACAGGGTCTCTATGGGTCAAAGGAGTCCTGGTGTGGCGCTGTGGGTTAATGCGCCAGACTGAAAAGCTGTTTGAACTGCAAGAGTGGCAGTACAAGCTCACCAGCTGTTCCTCAGAAAACCTATACAGGGTCACTATGGGTCAGAACTGACTCGACAGCACTTAACACCAACATTGTCAAAGGATGTGCCTGAGCTGGTTATTTTGTTGAGCTGGAAATGAAATGGCACTCATCTCTTTATACTTCCCTACAAACTACTGCTATGGGTCACTTGCCAAGAATGGTCTTGGAAATGAATGTCTACATTGTTGTGCAGCCTTTATAACAGTGGTATATGCAACATTTCTAGGTATACTATGGTGCAGCTACTCCTCATTTAGTGGGCTTCATTTTATTGTTAGTGTGGATTTTAAACATTGCGGATTTATGGCTATCTTGAGTGGAACAAGTCTATCACAGCAGCATTTTTTCAACAGTATGTGCTCAATTTGTGTCTCTCTTTTGTCACAATACCTTCCCCAATATTTCAAACTGTCTCATAATGCTATTATTACACACATTATTTGTTAAGTACAGTGTAAATATAACTTTCATATGCATTGGAAACCAAAAAAAAAGTTATTCGCTTACTTTTGATATTTGCTTTATTGTGTTGGTCTAGAACCAAACTCACAAGTGAGGTACGTCTATAGTTAAGTAGTAAACAGTGAGGAAGGCGAGAGGCTGAGTTGCTTCTAAAACTATAAAACACATTCTTGACTGCACACAGCAATAACAACAGACCACAAAGGAGTAGTATAGTGGGTTACTCAGTAGGTTGCTAACCTCAAGACCAGCAGTTTGAATGCACTGAGAATGATGAGGCTTTCTGCTCTCATAAAAATATTTTCAATGGATAAAAAACAACTGGCATGCCTACTGTAGGCTGAGCACGGAGTTTTTGTCATACCATTTAAAATTCCCCAAGTTATGCTTAAAGTCTCAGTCTCATTTCTGAGATGATAAAACAGATGAAAAAATATCAGATTATGTTTTCAAAATCATATTGTTTTATTATAAACAGTGTTGGACTCCTGGTGTGGCACTGTAGGATCAGCACTGAACTGTGAACCACAGGTTGGCAGTTCAAACCCACCAGCAGATCCTGGAAACCCCAGACAGGGTCGCTATGAGTTGGAACTGACTTGACAGCACTTAACTACAACAACAACATTATAAACAGTATAAATACCATTTGAGCCAACATGTGTTTCCAAAATACATACAGTATCCATTACTGCCTTACATATATATGAATAAAAGTCTTTCAAATCTACATTGTTAATCTTGAGAAGAACTAAACTCAACAAAAAATTCTCTTATCATGCTTGGAACTTTTGGGGAAAAAGGGGAACAAATGCACTCTAAGTCAGGTTACAAGTCAAAGCTTCAGGACACAAAAAAATTATTCCTATTGGAGATCAATTAGTTATAATCTTAAAGTATGTTTTCCTTCTCTAGTCATCATACTATACTTTAAGATGGGTTCCTGACATGGAATTTTAGGATAAGCACTGGACTACTAACCACAAAGTCAGCGGTTCAAACCCACCAGTCACTCCTGTGAGTTGAACTGGCTGGACGGCACTTAACAACACTCTAAAAGAAACTTCCAAACTTGTAGTTGTTTTGTAATGTTTTCTACTGTAAGCGTTTTTTTAATGCAATGGCTGCAAGGAGGCTAATGCTTTGAGCAATGGAATACCACCTTTTGTTCTTTTTAACGTAAATCTAAACATAAATTCTTTTAGATACAAGAAACTTAAGTTCTATTTATAGATACGCAATAGGTAAAGTCATCTATTTAGCCATAAAAAAAGAGGCACATTAGCCACAGCAAACCATCTGTACTTACCCTGACATTCTGGTAGCCATATCCAGCAAAATACTTCTCCATTCTAACTGCTCAAATCTCCAAATCCGTGCCGTTCCATCTCTGCTACCACTTAAGAACCTTAAAATATTCAGAAAAAGACATTATACTTGCCACCAAGGCCTACAGTAAAAATTATTTTGTTGAGTTCAAGTCAATCAGCAGATAGCAATTGAAAATGTAGTAATTTAAGGTATATCTGGGTATACAATATCTGGTTAGCTATCATTTGCCTGACCATGTCAGGCAAAAAAATCTCTTGTATAATGCACTACGTTGAAAAGACAACGTACAGCAATCACTAGGCAACGGAAATAATGGGAAAAATAAAGACAAAGAAAAATTACAAAGAGCAAAAGCTCTATTTTAAGTACCTTAACTCTAAACTCAAATAAATTCACATTGGTCATTATACAAAAATAAATCATCCTTTTAACAAATTAAGATGCTAAAAAACTGCAATTTAGGAAATTAAGTTCACAAAGGAAGATATATTTTGAAGTAATGAAAATTTAGTTGCAGGGATGTTACATTTTTTCCCTGTAACTACAGTAACATGAGGAAACTCACTGTCATTGCACATAATTTATCAGTACATCAAACATCTGGTCAATGGTTACTACTTTGGGTCCTAGAGGTTACCAGAAACTACAATTCAAAAAGCTTACATTTCATGAGTTTCTCCACAGCCCTACACACTTTTCATTAAATTGACATATTTACTAGTAAGTACTTACAAAGTATAAGTTGATATATTCGCTTTTCTAATGTGTAGTGCATTAAAGTTGTCTAAAAACACCCACACAAACAAACACATACTTACCTGTCTCCACTGTTACAAAACTGGATACTATCAACTTTATCCTAAAGGGGGAGAGAAGAAACACAACCACAAAAATGGTCAGCCAAACTGTTTGTAAAAAAATAATAATAACAACTTAGTTTTAGTGTTAGAAGCCCATTTGGTTTAACAAGCAAGAGATTTGCACTTGTGTTGTTCAGCCAATCCTTAAACCGGTATTATGCTGTACTTTTAAATGCTAAGACTCCTAACTATAAATCTAGCAAGTTTACTAAGAGATCATTATTTTCTAGAAGACAGGCATATCAGAGAAAGTTTTGCTTCTAAAATTAAAGTTGTATTTATAACTAATTACAGCTGTATAAAAAGTATACATGTGCAACGTGGTCATAAAGTGTTTTGTTGGTGTTAAGTGCCACTGAGTTGGTTCTCACTGACAGCAACACTGTATAGGGTTTTCAAGGCTTTACATCTTTGAAGGAGCAAAAAGCCTGTTTTTCCCATGGAGCAACTTACAGGCTCTAATTACTATTCATAGTTCAGTGCCACCTCATATCCTATAAAGCATTTTGTTGTTAAGTACCATCGAGTTGGTTCCGACCCACAGTCACCCTGTATTGGGTGTCCGATGAGCAGCTGGTGAGCTTGAGCTGTCAACCTTGCAGTTCAAACAGCTTTGCAGTCTGCTGCATTAACCCACAGCACCACAGGTAAAAATAAAGTATATTCACATTGGTACATTTTTCTCTTTCCTTTTTTAAAAAATTATTTGTATCTACATTTATCAAACCTTTGAAGGTAGATTACCTTCCCACACAAAATTTCCTCTAGAAGAAATGATGGCTAGACCACTGGAGAGCAATCCAGACTACTAACAGATATAAACCTTACTATACATTATAAATTTGCACTGCAATTTCATGAGTTTGGTTAAGATGAGTAAGTTCACTTGATTCAAACACCCAGATCAACTGTCAGAATCATTTTTTTTTTTTACTTAAAAGCTAAAATAACCACTGTAATACTTGTAAATCTCAAAATCCTGAAGTGCAAATCTTGACATCCCTCCTCTTTAAATGCAATTCTTTGCATGTTTAAGTCAAAATTAGTACTAGTAGTAATTTCCCCTTAGTAATATTTGCCTATGTACCAACAGGAATATTATTAACAATCTAAAGAATTTTAAAACACTTACAGTGTGGCTTTCAAGTTCAGCAATTTTTTCAGGTGCTTCAAAACCCAAAAAGTACATTCTGATTACATGATCAGTACTACCTGTGGCTAAAAACATACCACCTGAAATAAAGATGTTTAAATAAGATTTAACCACTCAGTTTACAACAAATGCCTCAAGAAATCAAATCTTGATATTAAAGCAATACCTCTTAATCTAACACTAAGTTGATTTCAACATATTCATAGTCTAATTCACTACTTACAGGTTTGTTTGTTTTTTTAATTTAGCTTAAATAAGCAAAGGTAATTCAGATTGGAAAGACTCACTACTTTCTTCTGCTTTATTAAATGTGGGAAATAACCATAAGTGCTACTACTAAAAAAATGCTTGAAAAAGGGGCTGTGCTTTCATTAAACAACTCTACATGCCTAAATCTATCTTGTTGTTGGTAAGTGCCATGGAATCAGATTCGACTCACAGTAGCCCCACACAGGGTTTCCAAGAAGTGGCTGGCTGCTGGGTTTTCCAGCTGGTGGGAACCACCAACCTTGCAGTTAGCAGGCTTGTGCTTATCTTGCAATGACACAACAGGACTCCTTAAACCTAGATATTCATGAGGAAAACCCACTGCCATTAGCCAATTCCAATTCAAAGTGACACTAGTATATAGTTTCCGAGGCTCTGAATCTTAATGGAACCAGACAGCCTCATCTTTCTACCACCAAGCGTCTGGTAGGTTTGAACTGCCAACCTTGCAGTTAGCAGTCAAGTGCTTATCATAAAGAAACACTAGAACTCCTAGCTATAATTTACTAAAGTTTCCATCTTTTTCTAGAGAAAAAATCTTTGAGCTGTCCTAAAAAATAAAGGTCACCACACAAGTTCATTGTATAATTAAAAGAAAAGAGGAACGATTTCCCTAAGATATCATGTGTAAAAAACTAACTTACATTGCAAAAAAAATTAACTTTAGTGTGTTTAAAAACGCACACCAATTTAATTGCATCATACACATTGGGTACCTGGCTCAGGAGTTGTTTACATGGAAAACTTAAGTCTTTGTTAGCTGTCATTTATACACCACTGAATCTCATTATTACTAGAAATTAGAGAAGAAAGAGCAAATGGGGAAAAAAAGAACAAGGGTAAAAGCTAACTCAGAGAATATCCTAGAAGACCAACATAATGAACCTCATTTTCCATCTATCTGACAAAGGGCCTTACCATAATGTGATCATTCTAATAAATGCTAAATTAATACTAACAAAAATAATTAAGTTCTCTTACCAACACTAAAAGAAGAACAAAGCATTTGAACGCCTGGCCTAGGCTTTTCAGTGAACTTCAAGGGACGTGGACTTTAAAAGAAAAAGAAATTGATTAAAAATACAATAGTTTAATATATTTGTTTTAATACATCACAATTAAATATCAGAATAATTTCTATGCACCAAGTAGTTCCACTGTGCTTTTAAAACTGAATGGACATGAGAAAACCTTGTCCAACCTCCAGCTTCATATCAATAATACTACACACAGAAAGGGCAGGCCTGTTAACCTTGTCTTGCTCTGGTAGCGTAGTGGTTACGAATTGGGCTGCAAACTGCAAGGTCAGCGGTTGTAAACTACCAGCTGTTCCATGGGAGAAAGCTGAGGTTTTCTGCTCCTGTAAAGATTTACAGCCATAAAAACCCTGTACAGTGTCGCTATGAGTCGGAACTGACTCCATGGCACATAACAACAACAACTAAAGTTCAGAGTCTAAATCTAAGCGAACCCATCAGTCTGAGGAGCTGGGTATACAACGACAACACTAACCAAAAGAGGTGTAAATCCAGCTACGTATGTAACATTCCGTTTTCTAGTTGTTGTTGTTAAGTGCAGCGAAGTCAATTTCAAATCACAACAACCATTTTTGGGGTTTCCAAGAAGCAGGTGATGGTTTTTGAACCACCAACCTAGTAGTTGGCAGTCCAGTGCTTCCTTTACCGTGACACACTACGGCGCCAATGTTTTAATTGTTGTTAAGTGACGTCGAGTCGGTTCCAACTCACAGCGACCTTATATAAGGTTTCAGAGTAGTAGCTGGGGGATCTTGTGGTCCAGTGCTTATCCTACATCACAACACCAGTAGCCGCATTAAAAAGTATAAAGAGATGAAATATATTTTCTTTCAAACCAATACAAGGGCTAGTCAAAAAGTATTTACAATTGAAATCTCTATTAAACAGAAACATCAAGCTGTGAAACGATTCTTTCTGGATACAATCTTCCATATAGCAATATACATTTCTGAAAGCAGTCTTTGTATCCCCTCCAACTTTTCCCTTAAGAATTCTGTGCTTTTTGATTTATACATCAAAACAAGAGTTTTGGCATTCTCAAGGGACTAAAATCACATTCCTTTTCATATTTTTTTGAGTTTGTGAAACAATCATAAATCTGAAGGGGCAAAATGAGGATCAAGGTGTGAATGGGGTAAGGTTTCCCATCAGAGACAGCCCTTGCTACACCTTGGAAAAAACAGTAAACGCACTGTCGTGATGGAAGAGAAGCCTTGTACACAATTTTCCTGCCTATCTTCTAATGCAGTTTTCAATTTTCTAAAAACTCCTTCATAAGATGACCCTGGGATCATCCTGTGTAGGTACAGAAGATCTATCACGATTACTCCTTTACAGTCCAAAGCAACAGCTGTTCATACTCTTCTGAGCCGAACTCTCAGCCTTCAATTGAACTGGCTTAGTAGATCCTGGACTCGTAGTATGGCACTGTAGGATCAGCACTGGACTGCAAATCAAACTACCAGCTGTTCCGCAGGAGAAAGATGAAGTTTTCTGCTGCCATGAAGATTTACAGCTTTGAAAACCCTGTACAGGGACGCTATTGAGTTGGAACCTACTCCGCAGCACACCACCACCACCAGCAGCAGCAGCTGCTCCTTGGGAACCCTATACAGGGTGACTGTTGTTGTTGTTGTTAAGTGCCATTGAGTCGGTTCCGACCCATAGCGACCCTGTAACAGGGTTTCCGAGGGTGTAAATCTTTACGGGAGTAGAAAGCCTCATCTTTCTCCCGCGGAGCGGCTGGTAGTTTCGAACTGCTGACCTTAAGGTTCGCAGGCCGATTCGTAACCACTACGCTACCAGAGCTCCTTATACAGGGTGACTATGAGTTGGAAACCACTCAACAGCACTTAACAACAACAGTCCATCCATGGTAGCATAATGGAATATGAATTGTTTAATGTATTTGTTTAAATACATCACAATTAAATATCAGAAAAATTTCTATGCACTAAGTAGTTCCACTACACTCTTAAAACTGAATGGACATGAGAAAACCTTGTCCAATCTCCAGCTTCCTATCAATAATACTACACAAAGAAAGGGCAGGCCTGTTAACCTTGTTTTGCTCTGGTAGCGTAGTGGTTACGCATCAGGCTGCTAAAAACATGGTCAGCAGCAGCAGTTCAAACCTACCAGCTTGCTCCACAGGAGAAAGATTAAGGCTTACTGCTCCCATACAGATTAACAGCCTTGGAAACCCTATACAAGGTCATTTTGAGTTGGAATCGACTCCACAGCACATAAATCCTCGGAAGCTATTGTTTTGACTGGATCGTACTCTTTGGATCTGGTTATGATCTGTTCCAGAAAATGTCATTAGCTTCAATTTTGCTCAAAAGACTGATAAAAAAAGATTGGTCATGCAATGCTTTTGGCACTCATCAAGCCAAAAGCTTACTGAGGCCACCATGCATGCTTAAACTGAAAAATGTCAAATAATGTGATAACTTAATTCCAATAGCTATTTCATCATTGGGATTTTTAGGGTCTTCTTCCACCAGTTTTTGGACATTGGCCACAGTTTCTTCATTCATTGAGGTTGATAGTCTTCCTTTTCTCTCTTAGCTCATCTTTGAGGTCTTCCATATATTCCTAAGAACACTTGATCTAACTATTGTTTACATGGGGCAGAATTCCCATAGGCTTGCTGCAGGGCTTCAGTAATTTAGGAATGTTCACCTAAATTGTTAAAATTTTGCTATCAGCCCTGACTTCAGAATCATTTTTTCTTAATCGCACAATAAGTATCCTACTTTTTAATGCAGGACCTTATCCAGAGAAGCAGCGAAACCAGAGATGGAGGCAGAGATGGGGACATGGAGAGAGGGAGGAGCTGAGGACTCTATATTCATGGAAAGAGAGGGACTGAGAGCTGGCAGCCAGGAGGCAAACTTGTAGAATGTGCCCTTTGGTGGTGTAAATTATTATATATGCTTTTTTTTTGGGGGGGGGAGGGGCCCTAACATGAGTAGCAAGAAGTAATGTTAAATGATGGTACATGGAGGGGATTATAATAATTATAATGAAACAAAGTATACGACTTTTTGAATGTATAACTAATGCTATGCCCTGTAACCTTTCACTCAATTCACAATAAAAACTTTTATTTAAAAAATAACAGGAAGTATCCTATTTTAAGACTAAGACAATTTTATTACTGAAATTTTCTGCAGTCATCCACTGATCAAGATTTTAAAATAGTCTAAACTTGTTTTGTTTGGAATAAGTAAGTGCATGGATAAACTGAAAAGCTTGTTAGGTGTCGTCAACACGGTTCCGACTCATGGGGACCCTATGCACAACAGAACAAAACACTGTCTGGTCCTGCACCATCCTCACAATTATTATGTTTGAACCCATTACTTCTATCACTGTGCCAATCCATCTCCACTTTACCAAGCATGATATTCTTTTTCCAGGGACTGGTGCCTCCTGATAACATGTGTCAAGTATGAAAAAAAAATCTCATCATCCTGGCTTCTAAGGAGCACTTGACTGTATTCTTCCAGCACAGACCCATATGTTCGCCTGCAACACCGTAACTCAAATGCATCAATTCCCTACGATTTTCCTTATTCACTGCCCAACTTTCAATATGAAGTTATTGAAAATACCATGGCTTGGATCAGGTGCACCTTAGTACTCAAAACAGCATCTTTGTTCTTGAACAGTTCAAAAAGGTCTTGTGCCATAGATCTGTATAACACAATACATTCTTTGATTTCTTAACGGCTGCTTCCGGAGTGTTGAACATGAATCCAAGCAAAATGAAGTCCTTGACGACGTCAATCTTTCTTCCATTTATGTTATTTACTGCTCCAGTGATGAGGACTTCTGTTTTCTTTACACTGTGTAATCCAAACTGAATGTTGTGATCTTTGATCTTTATCTTTCAGCAAGAAAGGTGTTATCATTTGCACACTGCAGGTTAATAATGAGCCTTTCTGAAATCTTGATGCCATGTTCTTCTTCACATAACCCAGCTTTTTGGATTATTTTCTAGCATTCAAATTGAAAAAGTATGTTGAAAGAATACGACCGTGTCACATACCTTTCCTGATTATAAATCATTTGGACTACGTACAGGTTTCTCATGAGCACAATTAAGCATTCTGGAATAACGATTCTTCACTATGTTAGTGATAGCTTGTCAGGATCACATAGTTGAAAGACCAATTTGCATATTCAATAAAGCACAGGCTAACCATGCTAAAGCAAATAAAAGAATTGAAGAGGTCCAAGAGCTGAACAGAAAATTTCAAAGATCAGCTGGAGAAGACAAAACCAGGTACTACAATAAAATATGCAAAGATTTGGAACTAAAAAACTAAAAGG